GCACTCTCCCGAGTGAGCCACAGGCCGGCCCCTCTCCATTGCCTTCTTACCACAGCCACCACGGCGCTCACAGCACTCTGATGACCCAGGAACTGACCAAGCTGCTGTCCTGACTGTGGGTCCCAGAGCCCCACAGAGCCATCACTGGAGCAGGAGATCTACAGAGTCAGAAGTTAGAGGAGTGGGATTATCAGCATCTCCCCAGCATGTCTGGATGTGGTGTAGGAGGACTATAAGCCTTGTGATTAAGAGCATGGGCTCTCCTGAGTTCAAATCCTACCTCCACTACTCATTGCACTGTGATCTGGGGCAAGTTCATCTCTCTGAGCCTTAGGTTTCTCAACTACTCAATGAGGATAATGATAGTGCACCTACCTGATGTGGTTGCTGTGGGGACAGATGCACCTATGTAAAGGACTTAGTACACTGCCTGGTACACAGTGAGAATGTGATAAATAGTAGCTAGTGTCCTTTTTATTGACATCTCAGACAACAAATCCAGATAAATGTGGAAAATTTGCCGAGCTAAAGAAAGATCTGGTTGCCTAAAAGGCAGGGGTAGGATGGACTATGACAAGTCTACTCAGCTGACATTCACTTTTTTCACATCTCTTTAAGAACAACCAGAGTGGGGACTCTGCACTAGGAAACTAGGCTTCACCAATGCTGAGTGCATAATTTGAGACTCATTTTGTGCCTTAGGACCAAAGGAATCATTGCAGTACCTTTTACCTACAGGGCCAAGACATCCCAACCCCTGGAGAAAGAGAACATATTCTTAAGAGCTTGGGCTTCTAATTAGAAAGTTCACATTCAGCTTTATCATTGACATGACCTTGGAAATGTTCTTTATCCTATCTGAGTTCAATTTCCTTGTCTGTGAAACAGAGATAGAAGTAGTATCTACAGGGTGCCGTAAAGATTGAGAAAATATATGCAAAGAGTTTAGTTCAGTGACTGGCACATACTAAGTGCTCAATAAATGTTAGCTATTACTATTATTAATGGGTGCTAGGAAAAGGATGAGACAGGGAGTGCTGTCCTCCTCCAGGAACCCTGCTGGACTCTGCACCACCCCTGCCCCTTCACTCACCAGTAGGTTGTCTTTGGTCCAGGCACAACCAGTGACCCAATCACGGTGACAGGCAGGGAAGGAGCAGATCATAACAGGGGCTTTGTGTGTCCTCACATCCCAGCAGAGTAGGCTCTTGATAGGTCCCAAAGAGAGGGAGCAATCAGGACCATAGCAGGGTGGTAGGAACACCAGTACCATTTCAGGCAAGAAGTTCCAAGGAAAGAGGGAGTTCAAGGAAGCATGAGTAGACAGATCTGTAGGAGATCTGGTAATGCAAAAAGCAGGAGGAAGCAATGGGAAATGGGCTGTTAAGGAATCTAGGAACCATAGCGGCTGTGGGGCCCAGGGGTTGCATCCCTACGAAGCTCACCCGATCCCTGCCCCCAGTAGCAAGGCTGCTTCCATCAGCACTGAAGCTACAGCAGCTCACTGGGCCCTCATGTCCCCGGAGCTCAGTGCCACAGGGAAATTCTTCTGCCCTGTGAGGCAGTGTCAGCAACTGCCTCGGCCACAGCTGCACCGTGAAATCCTCTGCATTGGAAATAGAGAGAGAGAGGAAGACTTTCTGGAAGAGGAACCAAGACAGGCCTGGGAGGCCAAAGACAAATGCCATCATGGGGGCTGAGGCAGTGTCCGAGGGCACACCTCCAGAGGAGGGATGCAGGGAGCCATGTGGCTGTGAGAGGCCCAGACAAGGGCCAGCCACCATGTGAGTACAAAGAACAGGGGACACCCAGCACTCCCAACTCAGGCCAGGAACATGGCTCCCTGTCTCTCTCCAACTTCCTACCACATTTTGCACAGTGGCTGCTCAGACCCCACCTCTTCTCAAGTGCCCAGTGTTACTTCCACCTCACCATCAAGTGAGGACCAAGCCTCTGACCTAGAGGACACCAAGGCCATTTTGCATTTTCACCTCAATGTCTCTCCCTCTCTCTATGGGAAATCTGTCCCATTATATAGCAAAGTCTCCCACTAGGCAGAAACTCAAAGGATTACCAGGAGTTTAAAGGTACCAGAATGAGGATTAGGGAACAAGAAGAAACAGAGTCCAGACTGTTATATAAGATAAACACATTCAAATGCACTTTGAAAGCAGTAAAAAAAATTGCATTTGGGCCGGCCCGGTGGCGCACTGCTACAGTGCGCTGCTTGGGAGCGCTGTGGCGCTCCCGCC